GGATGCTGTTACATGACAATGAATGGCACACGCTCAATATGCCACTGGGATTGGATTGGATGGAGATGGGATGGCGGCACAATGCCTCTTGCTATGATATGGGATGCCATGGGTTGTTTGGTAGGTTGCAATGGGTTTGGGCTTGTGCTTGGCTGACTGTTTGACTTAGTTTTATTGATGTTGCAGCGGCGCATGGCTGGCTGCATCACGGGTTTGCATTCGAAATCAATGTTGAATGCTGCCTCCTCGTCTCCCCCCTCTTCCCTATGTTGCGGGATATGTTAATGTCTGTTACCAAGTGGAGATGGTCTTAATGTTATTGTGGTTTTATTGTTGTTGTTGTATTCAAATTGTTTTAAATCAGAATTTCCACAAAAAGGCAGTAACAACAACATTGTCATCAAGCCGAGGTTTATCGCTTGCCCAATCATCATTTCTGAGGAAGCTTCTGCCGCCCAGTGATAATGAAGATGGACATGGTGTTCATGATGATGATGGTGGTAGTGGTGGTGGTGGTAACATAATTAAAATGATCAATGATCTTCATTATCACATTCATTATTTGACATAATTACCATCATCATCATCATCGTCGTTGTTGTCGTCATCATTATCCGCATTTGGGGAAGGCATGGGAACCAAATCCCAGCCATCATCATTCAAATGCTTGGATAATCATATTAAAGTCTTGGCACGACATTTGATAGTCCGGGGTTTGTTTTTTTTTTTTGTAGTGATATTGTATCCGGTATCCGGCCAAGACCATGAATATGTATGCAAGGCAGGGAAGTAATGCATCCCACCCAATTCCACACACTCACACACAAAAAGGCGATCAATCTTCTTAATTTCCTCATTTCCAATGATGAGAAGAAATTATCTTTGAAAGTTCCGCCAATCAAAGTTAACATGGGAAAATACACATAGGGTGGGGGATAGGCCTACCCCAAGTTTATTTTCGTCTTCTTTTTTTCCGATTTAATTAACCAACAACAAGTTGACCAGCTGACTCAGTTGTCTCGGTTAGTCAGGTTAGAAACACAAACATTGGCCATCGATAATTCCGTATCTCCGTCGATCACTGATTAGAACCGATGATTCACGAACTTAACGATCACCAGATACGTCATCAATTCTACTACGTCGTTGATAATTAAAAAAAAACATACGTTATTTTGGGTATTATCTCCGGTGGACTTTATTTCAAATTCTGACGCAATAAAAAACTACTTTTCTGATAACGAACTTTGGATTTTGGTTTAGGGGCGGCTGAAAATCGCCGGTATGAGAAATCGTAGTTGCCGTTCAGTGGATGGGGGGCTTGTCGGGCAAAGTATTTGAAATATGTGGGTCAAAATACAAATAATTTTGTTGTTACGGGTTTTTAGAGGGGAAAAATATTAAAAAAAATCCCCCGTTTATAGTTTCGAGGGGTTTTCATGGAAAAGAATAAATCACAGAATATAAAATAAAATCATAAAATATGATCTTCGCCTGGGCAAGGCAAAATTCGAAAAAAACCCACGAATATTTTTTTTGGTAGTTCTTTGGAAAAAACTCCACAAAATAATGCTTTGATTGTACTGCGGAAAAAAATTGCCAAAAAAAATAAAAAAGTCAAAAACACAAAATTTTTGTTGAATTCCGATGTTTTTAGGGTCCTGGGTAAATCGTCTATAAAAATTCACTTCTTTAACGATTATAGTTGGTCCCGATAATAGTATTGTTGAAAAAAAACTTAAATAAAAGGGTCCTTTAAAATTTTTTTTAAAAAATACACATGGAAAAATCTTCATTAAAAAATTTGGATTTAACTCTTATGATCCTGAAAACAATTATCCTTTAAAATGTAGTAGTCCCTGCAAAAACAAATTTAAATATCCACGTCTATAACTCTCAAGTTTCATGAAAAAATCTTCTCTATAAAAATCATGTTTATAACTCTGATGGTCCTCGCATAAAATATGAAAAAATCCATGTTTATAGCCCTGGTAGTCCTTGAAAATTTGTTTTTCACAAGAAATTTTTTCTTTAAAAAATCTATTTTTGAAAAAATTTTTGTCCAGTACCATGAGAGTTACAAATTATTATTATTTTTGCAAAATAAAAAAAAAACCGAAAAATTAGCTCTAAAGGTTAAAAAATCTGTAAAATCCATGTTTACAGTTGGTCCTGAAAAAAAGATATTTTAAAAATGCAACACGCTTAAAAAAATCGGTAGAAAATCCACTTTACAGCTCTGACGGACTTGGAAATAATTTTCTTTAAAAAAATTTCGATTTTTAACTGCCTTGATCCTGGAAAATATATTCTTTCAAAATCCACACATATAGCGCTGATGGTCCTTAAAACCCCTATTTTAAAAAACCCAAAAATTATCCCCCATTTCTTCTTAAAAAAATTAGAGATCTGATGGATCTCTAACAAAGATATTTTAAAAATGCAACACGCTTAAAAAATCGGTAGAAAATCCACTTTACAGCTCTGACGGACTTGGAAATAATCTTCTTTAAAAAAATATCGATTTTTAAATATATTCTTTCAAAATCCACACATATAGCGCTGATGGTCCTTAAAACCCCTATTTTAAAAAAACCCACAACTTATCCCCCATTTCTTCTTAAAAAAAATTAGAGATCTGATGGTCTCGCAAAGAAAAATTAACAAATCCATGTTCATAGCAACGATGATCCATGGAAACATCTTCTTTGAAATATCCATGTCTATAGCTCTGGCAGTCCTTGAAAAAAATCTTTACAAAATTCTGATTTATACCCCGATTGTAATGGGAAAATGTCCTTCAAAAAATCCACATTTATAAGTGTGATGGTAACAGCAAAAAGGTTTAAAATATCCACATTTATAGCTCTGATGGTCCTTAAAAAAATTTATAAATCTAAAATACTTTACAATTTTTTTTAATTCTTGTGTTTAGCTCTGATGATCCTTGAAACTATCTTCTTTAAAAAATCCATGTTTAGAGATCTGGTAGTCGTTGAAAAAAATCTTTACAAAATTCTGATTTATACCCCGACTGTCCTGGGAAAAATCCACATTTATAAGTCTGATGGTAATAGGAAAAAAGGTTTCAAATATCCACATTTATAGCTCTGATGGTCCTTAAAACAACATTTATAGATCTAAAATACTTTTCAATTTTTTTTTTTAATTCATGTGTTTAGCTCTGATGATCTTCGAAAATATCTTCTTTAAAAAATCCATGTTTAGAGATCTGGTAGTCCTTAATTTTTTATACCCTCATCCATGTGGCTACAGAGGGTTTATATCATTTGATACGGCCAAAACGTGCCTCATCGAAATAGCGGTTTTAGACCCTAGGTCTTTTTGGACCAAATCCGTTTCAGGACACTTGAAGTCGATCTTGCGATGTCCGTCCGTCATCGCAATATTATTGTCAAACTTAGATCGTGTTCGGAGATGGGCAATATCGGTCCACTCCTTCTGATAATTCCCCCACAAAAAGTCAACATTTTCCAAGAAAATAATTTTCTATACAGAAAGGGAAAGGATAATCCGATTAAATATAAATGTTCGATTTTCTTGTAATTTTGCCCATTCCAATTTTTGTTTCTGTATTAGATGAAGTATGCAAAATGGAATACTTCGGTCTACTATATCTGGCACCTAACACACAATTTAATTTAAAATGTTCACATATCTCATATAAAGTGAAAGAATTATTCGATATTGGCCAATCCTGGCACGTCGCAATATTTATATCATAGTTATTTAGCTCCGATACGAAATGGTCAATATTGGCCCATTCCTTCCAAACCTACTCCATAGAGGGTCAATCGTTTGAACAATCATAACAGAAGTCAAAATATATTTAAATAATCGAACATTGGCTGAGGGTATACATATGTCGGCGAAACCGAGTGATACTTTTTAATATGTTTCATTCTCAAGAGGTGTTATTATTCTTCGCCGTGGCAAAAATAAATAGGATTTTAGATGCCAAAATATGACCTACTCTCCCCATACCTATAAGGTGATTCATCCTGATTGTACGATTTTGCGTCGCTTGCGGTTAGGGTCTTAATTGTGTGCCCATTGTCCAGCCATTAAAAGTTAGAGTAACAAAAATCTATTTAGGTTTGCAGAGGTTTAGGTTTTTTTATCTATTAATCCTCCTCGTTCTTTTATGACAGATAGTATTTTCCCAAGAAGACCAGCCACCCTTAGCATTTTGGACATATGACATGTCGGGAAGATAATTTGGGTTCCAGTGGCAAAGTTAATTATTTTTAAACAATCTTATGAAGAAATAGAATGACTGTACGATTATGGGCTTCGGGGAGTTCGGTTGTTGGCCTCAATGGACTATAAGCAGAAGTTCAGAGGTAAAATATATTCCTTTGATATCCTTCATTCTTATGGATGATTAATCATAACTGTAATTATTTTAAAGAGGTACGAGACGAGGTGTACAATGTAGGAAGACTTTAATTTCGTTCAGCTGTTCTCTAGTCTAGCCTCATGGAGAAGCACATACGGATTAAGGATGTAGGTCAATGAATCTTCATTTTTCCCTAAGACATTTATGGGTTTTCCACAAGGCAGGCTATTATTCTTCTTTAAAACATAGGTCCCCATATTTTTCAGATTTCATTATACCCTTCCCCTGACCCATACTTTTTGTCTGTAGATGATTCATCAATTCGATAAGGATTTTTTTTTAAATCGAGAGCAGTTTTCAATTCCCAAAATCCCCAAAATATATTCTGCCGCCCTTTTCTGAACCCAAATAAATAGAGACAAATTATTTCCAATTAATTTCAATTATTTTTATTTTTCTTCTTTTTTTTTAAATCGAGAGAAGTTTCCAATTCCCTAAATCCCTAAAATATATTCTTCCGCCACTTTTCTGAACCCAAAAAAATCAAGACAAAAGATTTCCAATTAATTTCAATTATTTTTATTTTTCTTCTTTTTTTTTCAATTCTTAAAACTAAGTTTTTTTTTTTCAAATTTCTTTTAGCCCAGTTTCGATACTGGGGCCTCCGAACAACTTTTCCAGTTGTTTCTTCATTTTTTATCCTTTTTGCTAATTCTCTGCAAAAAACTGCTTCCATTGAGTGCGCGAGATAGTGAGACTGATGGCTTTCGAAGGCTTCCAAACCTTGTGCCGTGTTTTGCAACTTTAACGAAATGTTTCAATGTTTGAGACCGGTGCCGGTGCTTCGCACCTTATTGCCACTGTCGAACATTCACCATGGACGCCACATGGAACCCGAGTCACTGGGTGCTGGACTGCAGGTACCACTTTCACTGCTGCCACATTCAGATGGAGGTGGGGTGATGAGTGCAGGAGGTTCGGGACTGCCGCACAAGGAGGTGTTGGCCGACAGCTGGGTTTGTCCAGCAGCCACCATGGATTGGAAATGACTACCGGGGGATGCAACATGTCCAGCAGCGCTGGGTACAACTCCCAAAGGTGCCACGGCAGTGGGTACAATAACTTGCAAATAATTGAGACGATGACCCAAATGACTCATCAACTGGGTACCCAAGTCCACACTGACTCCCGGAACGGTGGCCAATGTTTTGGAAACCTCATTGGCTGCATGAATATAACCGGCCCGGAAACTTTCCGCAATGGTCAGTTTGGTGTCCTGATTGCCGTTCAGACGCAATTGCTTTTGGGCCCGTAACTTCTTCATGTGCTCCACGGTCAATTCCAAAATATCGGCCTTTTCGAGGCGGGTAATGTGTTCACCCTCCTGGGTCAGGCACTCAACCATGATATCCTTGAGCTCGTCCAGACACTTGTTGATGCGGGCACGGCGTTTGCGCTCCAACATGGGCTTCATCACCTTGCGGTATTGATAGGTTTTGGACATTTCCATTTCTAAGACCATATTTTCTTTTTTGGGTTGGGGGGTGTTAATTAAATCCAATAAAATCGGCGATAATCCACAGTTATGATTGTTGAGTTGGGAGATTCTGCTCTGAAGTTTGTGTGGCTCACAATATCCAGGCGGAACGATGTGTTCACTTGGTGGTTTAACTTTGAAATGATTCACAAACTTTTCTCACCGGCCTTTTTATAAGAAACGGCAGCAGCTGAGTGAGGGCTGGCTGCGATCAACGCTGAGTACTTCCCATGCAGCCAGGCGAGAACGAGACATTGTGTGCGTATTTGCGAGCATGGTCCGCACACACACAAACACACACATACCCAACGCTGCAGAGAAAGAGCAGCGTACCCACCGCTATGCTCTCTCCTGGCCATGACTTGCCGGCCTGTGAATTTACGTCAGACCCCTTGTGCCCGCACGCAGAGAATATTTTTTATCAGCACCACCACCACCACTACCACACCAGCAACAAAAACACACCAACTCACTCCATTCCGCTCCGCTCCGCCACGAAAAATTCAACCTAAAAGAAAATCAACAGCAACAACAGCCCCTGCATTCATAAACATACAAACATGCACAACAATACAACAAACGACCATGCCCCCTCCCCCTGCTCCTCGCCACTCACCCCAACCAAGCAAACCAAACAAACAAGTCAAGACTTAAGTTGTGATTGTTATACCGTGGGAAACTATTCTGTAGTCGATTTCTCACGACTAGCTGACTGCCTGACTGGCTGGGTTTATTGGATGGTTGCCTGAATGGTTTAGATTGCGCTATGTCTTGTGGTGTTGTTGTTGTTGCTGTTTGACTGGATAGCTGGATGGCTGGCTGGCTGTCTTGGCTTGCTGCCTGCCTAACTGCCGTACTTGATTATTTCTTAAAGTCTTCGCTGTCGTTGTCTTCGTCCCCATAATACTGTTGTTGTTGTCGTTGCTGCTATTATTATTATTTGTCTGGCAGTTTGTCGTTCAGTCGGTCAGGTCAGTCAATTTCTTGGCTTGTGTGGCTGGCAATAAGTAGTGTCTTAATGCCCGCCGCCAGCATGACTGTACGATTGGGGTCTTTGCAGTTTGTTATGGCTTTTTTTGCTGGTTCGTGTTACAGCACGAGGTCGGATATTGGGAAGGTACCGATTCGTTTGGGTTAAAAGCCATCCTAGTCTAGGCTTGGCGAGCGTCGCACGTGCGACATAATTGAATTGAAGGGCAAACGAATTGAGATCTTCTTCTCATAGAAGAGCAGAGGAGATTTTCATAGAATAGCAGAGATGCTCTTTCCATAGAAGATCAGAGAGGCTATTTCCATAGAAGAGCAGAGGAGCTCTTCACATAGAGCTGATGCTCTTTTCATAGAAGGGCTGAGGCTCTTCTCATAGAAGAGCAGAGACCCTTCTCTGTGAGAAGAGCTGCTGCAAAGCTGCAACCTATCCTTTCATAGAGGAGCTATTGGTCCTCTAATAGAGGAGCAACTGGTCCTCACATAAAGGAGCAATTGCTCTTCTCGTCGAGGAGCTAGTGGTCCTCTGGTAGAACAGGAAAGCCCTTCTCATAAAAGAACAATGGTCCTCTCGTAGAGGAGCAACTGGTCCTCTCGTAGAGGAGCAACTGGTCCTCTCATAGAGGAGCAACTGGTCCTCTCATAGAGGAGCAACTGGTCCTCTCATAGAGGAGCAACTGGTCCTCTCATAGAGGAGCAACTGGTCCTCTCATAGAGGAGCAACTGGTCCTCTCATAGAGGAGCAACTGGTCCTCTCATAGAGGAGCAACTGGTCCTCTCATAGAGGAGCAACTGGTCCTCTCATAGAGGAGCAACTGGTCCTCTCATAGAGGAGCAACTGCTCTTCTCGTAGAAGAGCTATTGGTCCTCTCATAGAGGAGCAACTGCTCTTCTCGTAGAAGAGCTATTGGTCCTCTCATAGAGGAGCAACTGCTCTTCTCGTAGAAGAGCTATTGGTCCTCTCATAGAGGACCAATAGCTCTATTGGCCCTCCTATAGAGGAGCAAGTGCTCTTCTCGTAAAAGAGCTATTGGCCCTCCTATAGAGGAGCAAGTGCTCTTCTCGTAGAAGAGCTATTGGTCCTCTCATAGAGGAGCAACTGCTCTTCCTGTAGAAGAGCTATTGGTCCTCTCATAGAGGAGCAAATGCTCTTCTCATAGAAGACCATCTGTCTTTCCATTTCAATCGACATTTAAAACGAAAACCCCCTTCCCAATACCCCCGCCCAATGCTGTGCCACTACAGCTACAGCATGAGGCAAAATAAAAAAGGCTGAATATATAGAGGCCGCCTCCAAGCACATGCCTTCCATCCGCGTATAGCGATAAATGGATCTTGTGTGTATAGCTCTTGCTGCTACTATTGTAGTTGTTGGTGTTGTTGCTCTTGTTGATTTTTATTGCTCCGTTTTGGGCTGTTGTTGAGGCTATTAAGACAGGCTTTCTGGGTGACGATGACGACGACAACAACATCGACGATGTTGTTGTACTGTGTTGCCGGCATAATGTTATTGCTGTCGTTGTGGTTGTTGTTGTTGTTGTTGCTGCTGATTGCCTTACAGTCAGTCAACAAAACACATTGGACTGTTATCGTTGGACATGGGGCCTTGTTCTGCTGCCGCGGTTCGAAGTCTGTGAACCCCGTTTTTTTTTTTTTCGTTGATTTGATTCGACCGTTTTTTTGCAGCGCATTGTAAACTTTGACTGCAGTAGCTTGAAATCATCATCGTCATGTGTGTGTGTATTTGTAGTGGTGTGTGTCTGTCTGTATGTTTTGGCTAGTATATGGCACGATTTATAATTGAGGAATCGTCATCGCAGTTTAATGCCTTATAGATCATTTGTGGATCGTGCCGCAGTCAACAAATGTTATAACGACCATTCAAGGAGGCGAACGATGCATGGCCAGCATTGCTGGACACAAAGGACGAATGGAAGGTTGGAATTCAGGTTTAACTTGGGGGCCTTTTCACGGATTTTATTTTAATTTAATCGAAGAAAATGGAACATTGAGAGGCGCTGAAAATGCTCAGAGGCAAGAAGTTACAAAAAATGCATCTTTCTTATAATCCTCTAAGGGAACAATAGGATATGGTAGGACTTATACGATATAAGGATAAGTAAGTTATATAAAAAGCGACTTGATCGAAACCCGCATCGCAATGGCCGAAAAATGGCTCGTGAGCTGAAGATATCGCAATATTCCATTCGGCAAATATTGAAAAATTAGCTCGGGGTAAAACCATTGAAATTAAAAAAAGTGCAAGAACTTACACCGCAACAGAAAGAAAAAAGACTTTAAGGAGCTAAAGAGTTGCTTCGCTTGGCCGAAAGTGGTGAAGTGCCGAATTTGGTTTTCTCCGTTGAGAAAACATTCGTTGTTCAGCAGTTTATAAACAAGCATAATGATCGTTTTTACTTGCCAAGGAGATCAGCTGAAAATGTGCACCTTCGGTTGGCCACCAGAACTCAAGCGCCGGCCATTGTTATGGTGTTTGCCGCCATAACAGCCAATGGTCGCTCTCCACTCGTATTAATCGATCGTGGCATCAGAATAAATGCCGAATATTATGGCGAAAATATTCTGGAGGGTGTATTAAAGCCTTGGGCACGCAAACATTTTGGCCAGAGACCTTGGACAATCCAACTGGACTCAGCAATATCGCACTCAGCACGCGCCACCCAAGAATGGTTACAAAATTAGGTTCCTCGCTTCATTTCCAGCGCCACCAATGGCCACCAAAATCTCCGAATACCAATCCGTTGGACTATGGTGTCTGGAGTATTTTGGAAAGCAAGGTTGGCACTAGAAAAATACCAAAGTATCGATCACCTCAAGCAAGTGATTCGCCGGGAATGGCCAAAATACCGCAGAGCAACATTCGGGCAGCGTGTGACGGTTTCATTGGCTGTTTGAAGGCCATAATTCATGCCAATGGTGACCAATTCGAACAAATCTAAAGTTATTCTAAAATTTGCTGCCATTTCCGACATTTAAAAAAAAAAAATACAAGTAAAAAAACATTAAGTTCGGTCGGGCCAAACTTTTAATACCCTCCACCTTAGGGTAAAAGAAACATTAGAAGAAATGTGGCAAAAACCATTAAAATGCCCAATATCGGGAGGTGCCGTTATATGGGGGCTACACCAAAACGTGGACCTACACATGCAATGTTTCGCCAAAGGAGCTAGAACCCATTATGACCTAGAAATACCAATTTTCAGACAAATCCGTGAAAAAATGTGGCAAAAACCATTAAAATGCCCAATATCGGGAGGTACCTTTACATAGGGGCTATACCAAAACGTGGACCTATACATGCCATGTTTTGCCACACGTACATGGACCCGTTATGACCTACAAATACCAATTTTCAAACAAATCAGTCAAAAAATATGGCAAAAATAATCAAAATACCGAATACCGGGAGGTACCGTTTTATGGGGACTATATCAGAACGTGGACCGATATATCTTATTTTCAATACCAACAATCCTAGACTCAACACAAATTGCTCTGCTAAATTTTGGCGCTCTACGTCAAATAATATGGGCTGTATCGTGATTTCAACAGACAGGCAGACAGACGGACATCGTTAAATCGACTACGAATTTTATGCTGATTATGAATATATATACTTTATGGGGTCTACGACGAATATTTAAGGATGTTACAAACGGAATGACAAAGTTAATATAACCTCCTTTCCAAGGTGGAGGGTACAAATATAATTTAAAAAAATTTGAAAATTGTGCAGTGTAACGTTATTGCAGTTTTTTTATCTCACCCTGTATGATCCAAGTAAGATATTTATAGTTATTTTACCGACAGAAAAATATCCTCATGACAGCCTTTATATATTCATATAAACGACCCATATGCGACCCAAAGATAGGATTTGGCTCTAGTTTGAAATCGGCTTTTATTGTGATGGGTAAATTTTGGACAAAATCTAAAAGGGTGGAATAACTTTTCAGGGTCGTAGAGGTTCCAGAGCTGTTGATATTTGAAAAATTGTAGTACTATATTTCGGAATATCTTGTGGTATCCTTGATTCCTAGCTTTTCTTGTATTAATTAATGGGGTTGCTGTCCATAAAAAGTGTCACCATAGGTCCTTTCTAAATTAAAATCGGTTAATAGTTCTGCTACAGATAGAAATGCAATTATGGACCAAACATTAAACAAGCTCATAATTTTGAATCCTGAGCCTCTGTGAAATATCACTCCAATGCTCCTGTTCTAAGACAAGACACATCTGATAGATGAAGGACTCAAAACTTCTCTTCCATTGAGTCCTTGGCCACAAACGAAGACCTAAAATACTTATGTAACAATTGACACAAAGTGATTGAGAATTATTCCTTGTAAGTTATCATTAGATTTGATTGTAATACGGCAATTACTTTGTAATTCATGCCAACTCGACAATGGCTATTGGTAATAATA